TATGAACAAATTATATAAAAATATGTTTGATTTTGCGGCATTTAGTAATCTACTTATATCTTGTGTAGAGTGTTTTGAAGATAGGTTAAGCCGACAAAAGTATCTAACTCAAAAAGCTTGAAAGTACGGACGAGTAAGGACAATGAAAATAAACTTTCAATTCGTTCATTCATAAATGTCTGTTCGATAATGATGTAGTTTTCTCGTCTCAAACTGCCAATGTTTCGATAGTTTTATGATAATTTGCCGCCGGCCCTAGCAAATGCTCGAGATGGAGTTTAGTGGAAGAAGAGAATGAAGAAAATATCGTCCTTTTTGATGAATATACGATTTATTATACATTTTTAAAATACAATTACATATTGTTGTCTTGGATGCATCTGGAGTTTAATGTTTCACTTCATCATATCATGACTGATCCTCGAGTCATGGACGGACTGGACTTTGTGTACTCACAGTGATACGGTGGCCTTGATCTCAACGCAACCAACGCAACCAACGCAACCAATGAAGAAGATGAAGTTAAGATCTATCAACCTTATATGCTGCACAGGAGGGTTGATGTATCATCTATCAGTCCTTCCATCAGTGGATCACTTAATAAAAACTTGATCACAACTTTTCACCATCGATAAGCGAGATAACTGATTCCTTCTTGGCTTCCCCACACGCGGACAGCGAAGGAATTACTAGACATTGACAATGACAACGTCGCAAAAAGCAAAAAGTGTAATCTTTGGCAGCAGCGCCTTCAATTTGTTAGAGGCTCACCCCATTGTGGGTATTAACGTTGCGTGGGGGGGTGCAGAGGGGTGACAGAGGGGCGCAGAGAGGGGAGGGGTGTTCTTGGTAATGCGTCGCTGCTTGGCCAATGCAAGTGGCAACGTGTGGATATGCAAGCGGCAACAATGTATGTGTGATGTGTTTGATGAGGAGACGAGGATTGGCCGATGTCGCACGAGCTGAGTTTCTCGTTACAACGAATTTTAGGAAATATTTTTCTACTCGATTGTTTATATATTTCTGTCATTCTCGAAATGTTCTCGCATAAACAGACTCGCCGCGCTCGAGTTATGACCCTTGGTATTGATCCCACAATTTTGACTGTTTGTAAAAATGAAATATCTGAAACTGAATCTGTACAAGGTAACCTGTTCATTGCGATAAAATTACAAGTTTCAGCATAATCTGACATATTATTAATTATCCATTTAAGATAGATTAAAAGCTCACGATAATTCACCGATAAGTACGTATGAAGTAAAGATTGAACTTCGTTTTAATGCCGCCAAAAAAATTAATTTGCAATATATATTTGATACAATTATATTATCTTGTGATAAATTATTTGATTTGATTATTGGTAAAGTTTAATATTGGTAATAATTTAAGATTGCTAATTATAAGAAAATAATAAGTTATTCTAGAATGATATGGAAATTAAGATAGAATACGCTCATAAATAATATATTAAACTTATCGACAATCACTTAATGAGAGAAGTACAATTACAAACTGTGCAAGGCCGATGAAAACTGACTTCAAAGTAAATATAAAAATTGAATGAAATCATTATAATCGTACCAAAATATTTAATCGATTTAATTATTAATTATAACAAAGTGTATAATAATACACGTCGTGATAAACGATGCATTAAATATTGAGATAAAATTTTATATAAGAATTTTTTAAGAATAGCTACTTTTGTTGTTGTAATTGTTCATGTTATTATTATTGTGAGTGATATGTTACGAAGTAATAGGTACAGAGTATATTACGTATAAAATAAATTTTTTTTTGTTTGAAAATTAATAATATTCTGTAGAATATAATTACGGAGAAAGTGAGAATAATAGTGTAGTTAAATGTCTTAAATAAGATAAACCATGCAGTATTAAATGAAAATTTATAAATAATAAATAAATAATAAGATTTTATAATTAATATTACCGAACTGCTAATATACCTTGATATTATAAAAGTTATTATAATTATTAAAGTTTCCGTGATATTTCGAGGATAAAAATGCAATGATTTTCATATTACTTATTAATCAATATTTATTTTAATTATTTTACATTTTTTAAAAATTTATTTAATTATAAAATTTCGACTATTTCACGTTGTTCGTGTTGGTACGAAATTTTATCTTACTTGACTGGATTAATATTAAATTAGAAAATTTGATGAATTAAAACGTGATTATAAATTAGAAATATTTGATAAGAAACTTATTATATCTATAACAGAATTTTTCTATATTCAGATACTTTCGGGCAATATTTATGTATACTCTTTTATGTAACTCGAATTAGTTTTTTTAATTAATTAACTTTATGCGTATACATGGTTTATTGCTTTATATATAACTCAAGTTAATGAGCACAAGTGTTTGGGTAGCTGCACAACAACGTGTGTCGACTAGTGCGCAATCACAGAGTAATTAAAAATATTTAAAATAAAACTTGTTTCTTTGTCCTTTGAATCATCTACTTGTTTTCTACGACTAAAAATTGTTCATTTTCTCAATCGTTTTTGTAAAGGTCTGTATGCATATATGGCTGCTATAAACTAATTATCAGTTCTATGTAATGTTATTATAATGAGCTATTAATTTGCGATTTCTCGCAGTATTCGCAACGACAATGGCATAAGAGCAACATAGCAGGCAGCAGTCGAGGCAACTTCTTCCCGCTGAAAGCGAATGTTTAATCAAATCGAGTAGAATTAATGACGTTGAAGGTTTGACTTTGCATGAAAAGGCTCGGTGAAGAAGGTAATGAATGAGCTCTTTCTTCCCGTATTTTCAATATATTCAGTCGTTTATAAAAATATCCTGTAGAAAATTCATTATCGATGCCATTATCAATGCCATTATCAATTATTTTTGTTGTTTAATAATGCATCGCAAATATTTAGATTGGATTCTATCGTTATTTGGCGAATTCAATAGCTTTGCGTTTTATCAGCAGGATTGTGTAACTAACTATAATAAATGCTAACAATTACACAACGCTTTTTCAAAAACAAATTACTTCTCGAGGTACTTGAACTTTAAAAATTCTATATTTTCATAAGTAGTTAGGGAATTATTTGCCTCAGAGATGTTAAAATTAAATTGAAAATTGGTCGAATTTTATAATTATATAGCATTCCTCGTATGACGAAAATTTCATTAGTAATTTTATCATAAATTTTCTAGATAAACGAAAATTTTGTTTTATATAATTAATTATCGAAAAAATTTAAAAGTTCATAGCTTATGTGCTTATCAGAATATCGAATTGCATCACCGCTCTTTTCAAAGAATTCATGAAGTTTCATTGTAATGAACGAATGATATAGGCCATATAGGTGTCGAGTTAATTATGTAAAGGAAATAAGTCAATGCCACATGATAATTCGATATAGTCGAAAGTCTTATACGAAAGCTCATATTTTTCTTATATTTTTAAAAGGAAGTTATATAAGTTAAATAAATTAATAAGTAAATATTGTTAAGATTTTATGTTATGTAATAATGAAAGTCATAAAAATCTAAATCAGTATTCTATTATATCGAATTCTATTATTCTACATCTAGAAAAGTATTGTTGTAAGTTATGCATAGTTCAACTGTCCATCTAACATACGTAATAAATCTCTATTTCATTTCCTTTTAAATTTATTGCAATTTAATCTTTATAAAGATATTTTCTCTCTCTCTCTCTCTCTCTCTCTCTATCTATCTATCTCTCTTTCTCTATCTCAACTTATAGATTAAATGTGTAGATAAGGATGGAAAATTAAAAATGTGAAAATAATTTTAGATTAAAGAGCAGAATTAATAGAATATAGCCAAAATATCATATTTATTCTATGAATTATTATTAATAACAGATATATTTTTTTATTATAAAGTGAAATTCTTATTTCAATCTATTCTATCCTTACCTAGTTGATTTTTAGTTTTTAAACCAGCCTCAGCAAAATGCCATCCATTTTATTTATCGACTATTAATATTCGATTCCAAGTTCCTAATTAATAACTTATATTGTCTGTTAAAAATATAAATTAAATATGGACTTATGTGAAATTTCAAGAGTATTAAACTTTTCGTAATATATACGGCTTTATATGTGATTAGAATATTTTCTGAACAAACGCACATCGACACTATACATAATTCAATATCGATAATTGTTTATTAGACAATTAAATAATCATTTGATATAGTTATATTAAATTTAATCATTTGTCTTATGACAATAGGTTATATTAAAATAATATTAATATTCGACAATGTCACACACAACTTCTTTATGAAATAAAAAACATTTGCGTCTACTCATATTAAATTCTGCCTTTTTTAATACGTACACCATACTTTCTAACAAGACTTGAGTGAATTTTTTCCACTCCATTAATAGTATGTAATTAGGAGGAATTTAAATCAATAGGCAGTAAAGCGTTGAATTGAACGAAAATAGTTACTCTACATATGTGTATATTGAAAGAGATAAAAATGAAATTTTTATTGTTTAAATGTCCATTTATATAAACTTTATTTGCATGTGAGATTTTCAAGTTTCCTACATAATTTGCTTCATTACAACTAATATAAACGTATTGTTTTCGCGAGAATGTCTAAATCCGTCCAAGATGTAAAACCTTGACTAGAAAGTTCAACGATGCATGAGCAATTCTAGCTAATTCTACGGGAATATATATTCTATTTATACAATATGTAAATACGATATACCGGATAATACCGTACGGTATAGTAGAAAATGGAGGAGGATCGAAGGACTGAGATGATTTGAATCCTTGACGTATGTTGCAGGGTGCCGGTACGATGGTAAGCGATACCAGGAGGGTGTGCTTGTTGGAACCCTGGAGCCGTGTCTTCAGTGTCGCTGTGTCGAAGGTTCGCTGCGCTGTCGACTCCGAGTTTGCCCCCGACTCCCCGAGTTTGCGCCACCGGGATGCCGGTCGCGTCCTCCGGGGGAGAAGGACTGCTGCCCGGAGCTCGTCTGCGGCCTCGACGAGGGTACGCCGATCGCAGTTTCGATGCCAGCTACATTAACATTGCATGACGGCCAAATCTATTACACCCGTCACTCGTTTAAGCGACAGGTCCACAGCTTATCTCCATTCGCCTTTTTTCACCATTACCACTTTACCCTCGCGTGGACATTACCGTCCCTTTTTATTTATATTACATAGATGGAATGGAACCATCGCGCATTTCGCCTTCTATCCAAGCCTATATATGCTGCACGTACATTGTCGTAATGATTAATATTTCATTAATCTAACAATATCTCATTTACAATTATTTTTTACATACCCGATGAACAGTTAATACTCTACGTGTGATAATTTTTTCTTTTTTTTTTTTTCTCTCGTATCTCAGATTATGTCAGATATAACGTACAGTCAATTCACATGCTTATGATGCTTAGTTAATAGAAAATTGTTAATAAGACTTTGGGAGAAGCGTCATTCGAAGATGGAAATCATCGATAAGCTTTTTTCACTAAAATTTACTTTTAAAATAATGCACAAAGAAATTTTCTATAATAAATTCATAAACCTTCAAACAATTTGGCTATTTTATGGATGACTATGTTAAAATTTTAATTCATACTAAATGCACCGATTCCATATTTCATTGCAACTACAAAAACTTTTATTCCATCATATCGTCTACATTGTTTTTTTTTTTTTTTTTTTTTTTTTTTTTTTTTTTTTTTTTTTTTTTTTTTTTCCCCAGGGTGTTCGAAGTGTCTATTAAATAATTGACAACCGAGTTTTACCTTACTCTGCAGAGACCTTACAAATCGAATTTTGCATACCTTTGTGATAAATTAATTTTTTTTGTTATGTTTAATGATAAAGTTTAATTATAATAATATACATGAAAGGTCTTGGCAACATTTATGCAAACATTAACTGTTATGTAAAAAAAAAAACCATTACAATATAGATATAAATATAAATCTTACGAAATTGAGATAGTATAATATTATAAAACTATACAATACATTGTAGTGCAATAATTTTTACACTAAAACCTCTATTTTTATAAGAGAATTTCATTTGTTGCATTCGTCTTCGTATACCCTTCTTTTTATATCACAATTCCTCAACTATTTCGATGTTTTAGCTATAATTCGTTCATTTAATTTAATTTTTATTGTATTTTTATTACAATAATTCATTAAAATCATTCCAATTAGCTGCAATTTTTCAATCAAGAAAATTATAAAATTAAATAATTAAAAATGGTAAAGTTATGATGAATTATATAAATATGCTATAAAATACTTTATATAATTTATAATATGATACATTATAGAATAAATACTTTATGGCTTCCAACATAATTGTTTTTATCTACAATCTTTAGGATTCAATGCATACGATTAGATAGCAAATATTTTGTTTGTTTTTATGAATAAAATATGAACATTTTTTTTTTTAATTCAATGGGATTTTTGTTATTGTTAGTTTTTTATTGTTATTTCAGATGAAAATGAAAATATTCTTCAACGTTCAACTACAAATATTTACCATCATCCTCGAGCTGAAGAAGGTAATTGATTTATATATATATATATACACACACACACACGCACACACACATATTATATATTAACACGATATAATTTTGAGATGCTTTCTGAATAAACATTACGATAAATAGATAAAAATATACATCATAACTAATAAAAATTGTCTGCAATTGCAAAGAAATACTTTATCTGGATTCATTATTATTTAGTTCAACGTAGTTAATAAGACAGTCTGTTATTTATGTATTTCAATGGTTAATCAATTAAACGTTTATTTATATAAATGTATGTTTCATGTAGTATATATATATATATATATATATATATATATAACAATAAATCTTTAAATGATTAGCATCATTAGATGTGCCATAAGTTGCAAATAAAATTAGATAAAATGATAAATAAAAATCTTTACATTAGTAAAAAGTACGTTGATATAATAATGACAACGACGTTACATATCATGACATAACATTACATAACAATACATTTAATTATATAAATCTCCTCTTATCTTTCTTCTTCTTCGACTTATCTTTTCTATCAATATTATTCTATTAAAATTTTATTAAAATTAATAATAATATACAGACATTATATATACAGACTGGAGTTACATACTCAGCAGTGCAATATTATATAAATTAATTCGCTCGATCGTATGGATGCAACGATTTCAAGCAGTGTAGGTTTATTTTTATTTGAACACGAAAGAATAGTTACGTGACTACTGGTCGACTATAAATATTACCATTCGTTTATTCATTTGTTATTGATTTATGCTATTTACATTGCATATAATAAAGACGTGTAGAATTTGAATGTAATTTCTATATTTTTCCTCGAAATATCCGTTATTATTTTTTTATTTATTAATAAAATTGTGAATGCGTTTATTGTATTATTGTATGAAAAGTTTGTTTATAATTACATTGTGAAATCAAAGTCTTCGCACTGATTTAAAATAAAATTCATCATAATTATTCAGACAATATGCTTAACAACGAATTTGACAAATAGCAACATCGAAACTTTAAAACTCATGCTCTCTTGCTCAAGTGAGTCGCTCACTCATCTATATCGCAAAACACAAAAATCGAAAGTCTTATTCATCAAAGGCTAAAGTGCATGTCGACATAAGGCCTAATAGCCACAATTAATATACTTCCGCGGCAATATAATTGCATGAATAATACAATAAATAATACATTTTAATGCCTTTTCCCGTATTGCTACCAAATACCGAGCTTCGATCAAATTTGGACGCAAAATATCAATGGGAGCCCCAACTCCCCATTCCATCCATTCTCCAAATACCTCCTGCGAACAAAAACAATCGAAAAGGCGCAGGCGCTTGTAACGAGGGCCGCTATTGCTTCAGGATGCCTGCACGAAGGTGTTCGTTACGGCCCAGGATCGGCGATGATGGGTTCCCGACGATGCGAGTACTGCTACTGCATTTCCGGTGTACGGAGATGCATCCGACCTAAGTGTTTACTACCTCTGCCCGGGTGCGCGCCTCTTTACGCGCCTCACTCCTGTTGTCCCGTCGCTTACAACTGCAGCTGTGAGTATGTCAGGTTGGGACTTGCCTGTCCTCTTAGAAACCCCATTCGTTAAGATTATTCAGGATCTACCCGGCTCGCGCATAAATTCTTCTTCTCTTTCTTTTTGTAGATGCTCTTTCATATGTTCCTCTGTTTTTGTTTGTTATTTTTATTTTTTATTTGTTTTATTTTGCTTTTAGCGGATGCGCTCGTCTATGTATGTATTTCTATAATGTATTTCAACGTTACTTGCTCGTGCAACGTTTGCTAAACGTCATATTTAAGCAACATACAATTGTATAATTATGTGTATATTAATCTATATTCTCAAATGCTATCGTTACCCATATAACAGCCGTCAATTTCGTAAGAACAAACAGTTTTCATCAATAATAATTATATTTCATTGAAATTATTATATTATTATTATATTTGAAATAATAGTGATCGGCTACTTTCTCCGTATTAACAAAATATTATTATACGCCATGTACCGTCTTATCCATTTCACAGTTCAAGCTCAATTCTCCACGACACTTGCTGCTAAATCAGGAAATGGTGAGTACTCGCTTAATGCGTAAATTTTACATTACTATATTCGATTTTGCTTTCACGATTCATCGACAATCTTGACGGATACATAACAACTATTGTTAAATAATTTATATGACTTTCATTATAATATCCAATCGGTTTTAATTGATTTTAATAATCTCGCTATATCACTGTTTCATTGCCTTCTACAATAGAATTTACTATTATTATACCATAACAAGTATTAAAACAATTATTAAATAACTAAAAATAAAAAATAATTAAAACAATAATTGAAAAAAATTAATCGTTTAAAAAATTGTCAGTAAAAATGAAATTAATAATCCAGTGAAAGAAGCTATAAAATAGATTTTATATTTTTTTGCTGAAATTTTGCAATACACAATCGGTATGGCATAGACAGAAGTTCATTATTTATTCTTTTGCCCGAAAACATTTGCACAATCTTTAAATTTGTTTATCATCAATCGTAACCTAAAATGTCAAAGAAATTATGCTAAAAGTATTTAGTTTAAATTTAAAATTTCAAAATTTTAAAGAATTTAATGAGACTTGTATTAGCTTATATGCAGTATATTAATTTTAAATAAAAGTAATTGTTAATTAAAATTTTATAAAATTTTTTACCCAATAAATATGAATAGCATATTCTATAAATTAATTTGAATATTAATTTCGTTCAAAACGATAAATCTATTTTATAGAAAATAAACTGCTACAACGTAAGTTCTTACATAAGTTTTGAATCTGTATATGATGGTGAAATAAAATTAATAAATGTTTAAAGCTACATATAAATAATTCATCCGTGGATAATTTCAATCATTATTATATTATTTGTATTTACTAATATATGAAGAAATTTTTAAATATTCTATAATACGGTATTTTATTTTGGTTATAAAATTCGTCATTATTATTACTTTTTTTAATTAATAAATAAATATTATTCATTAACACTAATTAAATAAATAAAGAATAATAGTATAATTAATAAGCCTTAATATAAATATTAAAAAATTAAATATAACAAGCAATGTTTATATATTGTTTAAAACAATTACATCAATGTTTATTATAGAAAATAATTTATCTTCATTATTTATTACAATTCAGTTTTCTAACGTGAATTGAAATTTAAGTGTTATCAATAGGAGAAATGAATAACCTATAGTTTTTTAGAAAGAACAAATATGCATGATTAATAGAATAACAGATTTTATTAATTATGTATTAAATATGATGAGTTTGAAACATTATTCATAAATTATATCGTAATAATTTATTGCATTATAATTTTTTATGATATGATTTTTCATTTTAATATTATAATATTAGAATTTTTACACCTTCAAAATAATAATAAAAAATTTTTAATAACAATTTTTCTAAAGGACATGTATGCGCGCGCACACACGCACACACACACGTATGTATGTATGTATGTATGTTCGAACGTATGTGCAGAGTAACTTAATAAAAAATTATATTATAGGATCAGCTATATAAAATTCTTTACATTAAATTTAATTATACGAGACAATATATAATGATGAAATTTTTATAAATTTTTATCTATAATTAAACGGTTGCTTCTTGATAGCTAATTCTTATAATTATATTATTGTAATATCAAACTATTATTTTAATATCAATTTAACATGTTTAAATTACGAAAACTATTTTTACAATATTTCTTCTCTATTTTCATGCAAGTACTAATAAAATATTCCATAATAAAAATAATCATATAGAATTTATTAAAATACTTTGCTAATATATTCGCTGAAATAATATGAAAACACATATATTTAAAATTCATTTAATTTTTTGACAGAAAATTTACCGTTATATGTTCGAAATTTAAAGCTTACGTTAATATTGATATTTCATAATTAATATTTAAAAATTTACGTATATTTATATTAATGAAATACATTTATTAAAATCAATACGAAATTTGCAAATGAATTTCATTCAAATGCTAAGGCTTTTATAAATTAAATATATAGATTTATTAATTCCATAGTGTTTAATAATAATAATAAAAAATCTATTTTCTTTTTCAAAAAATCAGTAGCTAAAGGAAAGTATGTTTTTGACGTTTTCTAAGATCTCGAAACTAAATTTTTACAATATGCTTTTAAGTTTAAAATTTCAGGTACATTCAATTGTTATAAAAATTTTTTAATTCACAGCTCTCATAAAATGATAATTCCTATTTTATTAAAATATAAAGTTAAAAAGATTTTATTGAAATTTTAAGATAATTTGACTCTATTAAGTTTCAAATATTTGCTTATTTTTTTAATATTTGTGTGGCCCACTATCAATTTAAATTAAATTTAAAACTATTTTAATTTCATATGCAATTTAAAATAGTATCTACTCTTGGTAATCAGAAAGCGTTATTTTAAATCTAAATTTAACAAACGGAAAGTTTAGAATATTTTATGTGATTGAATTTTATTGCTGTTAAATCCTGCAATTTTTTATTAGATATTTTCTGTCTTTTAATAGATATTACAGTCCTAATTTAAAAAATTGCCTGTTATTTTCAATTTTGTAGGTCGCCAAATTTTTGTCAAATATTTTAAAGTTTTTTATATAGCATTATTAAATTGTATTGTAGAGTATTGAAATTAAATTCATCAACAATAAGAGTAAAATATTCTTGGATTTAAAAACCGTAAAATGTAGAAACGTAAATGTACCTCCCATAATTACCATAAAAAGTCATATAGATGATATGTATTACACCAGTTTATTTAAAATATTTATATTGCTAAAATGATAGGAACGTTAATGATATTATGGTAGAGTAACTAAATAATTAATACTTGTAATTTTACATATTAATAATATCGATTGCAATAAGAATTTTAATATATATTAAAGTGTTTACTGAGAGCTAAAAATCAGCGTTTTATCGAAACATGCAGAATAAGGAAAAAACAAACAAATAACAGAAATTCATAAAACTATAATTAATAATAATACTGATTATAATGTTCAAGCGCAATACTTTTAAACTGTAGAATCTCCATTATTTAGGTTTTAATTTTCGTGGAAATGTCAAAGCTAAATTTAACATAAAGAATTGTTTATGTTAAATCGGAATTTATTAATATTTCACTTTTCTGTCGATTATTTAAAATCAACGTCAATATTACATTTGCCAAGAAAATCATTTTATATAAGCATTTCCAAAAAATTCTGCATCATATTATACTACGTAGTAATAGTAGTAGTAGTAGTAGTAGTAGTAGTAGTAGTAGTAGTAGTAGTAGTAGTAGTAGTAGTAGTAGTAGTAGTAGTAGTAGTAGTAGTAGTAGTAGTAGTAGTAGTAGTAGTAGTAGTAGTAGTAGTAGTAGTAGTAGTAGTTGATGTAATTAAATGATAAAATTACAAAGCAGAACGTGCATGACGCGAAGGACCTATGTTGGATCGTCCTTTACAGTTGTCAAATATTCCTTCGGTGCTGCCAACATCAATCCCCCGAGTAGACTTTAAGTCAATTATAACGGAAATGTCGGAAAGTATCACCGACGGCAACCGGAACTTGCGCATCGCAAAAGGTCCGCGTCGCGAGCGTCGGAGAGAGACTCCGAATTAGCCGAGTCACGCTTAATTGATAATTGATCAGCGTGCATTATTGGTATGCCCAAGGCTGTCGGTCGGGGGAGCGGGTTTACCAGGAGGGCGAGATGGTGCGAGACATCGCATGGAAGGCCGCCTGCGATAACTGTTTCTGCGCGATGGGTGCCATACGTTGCGTGCCTCTGGCCTGCGCCCCGCCTCTCCAGGGTTGCAAGCCCATCGTCCGCAAGGGCCACTGCTGCCCTTCCACCTACAACTGCAGTGAGTACGGGCCACGGCACTCGTCAGTGTCGTCAAGCCAAACAATCTAGAGTCCGAAGCACTTGTGTAATCGTACGTCATTCGTAAGCGATGCTAGTAAAAGCTCGCCACGGTAATTAATAAGTCACAGAATGATCGAATAACTAGCTCAATCTGCCGCGATACACCCACAAATAGATCGATAAAAACTATCCTTATCGATTGTTTATTTATTTATTTTTTTAAATATCTTATAAACAAATATAATAATATTAAATATACATCTTTTGCATTATGGATTAGTAATGCTATCGTAGTTTATGCTATCGTAGAATGTATTATGCTTTGCTGCTAATATTTTGCTGGAATTTAGTAATAATGATTGATGCAATGATATGATAGTAATAAGGATTGTAGCAATTTTTTACTCTCCAGTACAATAAATATTCTTAAGCAAATGTCACTTCATTAAAGACGGATGAGACGGGAATAAAGCAAATCACGGCAACCGATTGCTAATATAAATTAAATATTTTTCGATACTAGCTCGAATGAGAAATATTAAAGTTATTCCGTGATGATGTTACCGTTAAGAATTATTAAATTCAAAATTATTTCTGAAGTAAAATGTTTTAGGTGGGAACATCGAAGTCAAAGCAACACAAAATTATGCATCGTATGCCTTTATCAGTAAAGACTATGCAAAATTTCGAAAAGAGACAAATTTCTATGTAAGTTTCCTATAATACTTCATTGTAATTGTTATGATGATTATGACTTTGATCAATACCATATGAAAATAAAAATTTTTGAATAATGCCATTATCATGTTAACATATTAAAATGAATAAATAGATTTAATGTATGAAAAGTAGTTAGTAATATTTAACGTCAATTTTTTCATTATTATTATTTATAATAATTTATATTAGTATTGATAAATGTTTTAAGCTACATAAGTAATTTTTACTTTATTTAACAAAATACATATATATATATATATATATATATATTTCTTTTTTCATTAAAAATAAAGTAAAAAGTAAGTCTATATATATAATTATATGCATAATTGATATAATATTGCATACTGTACAAAACTCTAAAATAGTTATTTAATAAATAATAGAGAAAATTTCTTAAATATGTGTATATATATATATATATATATAAGAACTAAAGGTGTGAATTATAATGTACATAAATAATAGATGCATTAGACAATAGTACGTAATGGTTGAACTTGGCGCCCTCATTTTTATATTTTTTATATTCTATTTTTATATTCCGCAGCCAGCTTTTGATGATACAGGGTTGTCAAGCGTCGAGGGAAGAGGTCATCGGATTGCAAACGAGGCTCTCGAATCCGAATCCGACACCCAGGAAATCATGACTGAAGAGTCTGTTATGGTAACCGAATCAGCTTTGACTATTGAGACCGAAACAATGAATAATGAAATTCTGAGAGAGACGGAGGATTATCAAAAGCACACGACGCGCGATCAAGAAAAACTTACAGACACATCTATCGAGGTTAGCAGACATTTATTCAGTCTCTTTGTTTTCTTATCTATCTTTAATGTTTTTGATTAATTCAGAGTTTTCACGTTTAGTTTCAATATGTAAGAAGCTGTCATTTTTCTTTTTTTTTTTTCTTTTCTTATTTTTTTTGTTTTTGTTGACACTTACAATCCATTATGGTTTAAGAAATTATTATTGAAAATATATAAAGATATTACGAAGATAATATTTTTTTTTTATCCTTGAAAATCAAAATATTCACCGGCAATATAATTTTATTATAAATATAAATATATACATTTTTAATAATAAAAATTAAATTTGTTTTGATAATAACTAAAGTGTAAGTAAAGTGTAACTAAACTGTTAAGTGTACATCACTTAACTTTATTTATTATAAAATCAATGCATTTGAAGCAAAAAGTGATAATAATTTTGATATAAATTTAATAAGAAAATCACGTAGGAGTGAAAGATAGTTCGATTATTGAGTAACCATGCGCATCTTGTGAAATACGTCTAGTTCTCGACAAGCACGGACGCGGTAATTTCCGATGAATTGCTAACTACTACTACTACTACTACTACTACTACTACTACTATTACCACTACTACTACTAGTACTACTACTTCTACTACGGGGGAGTCGACACCCGAGGAGGCAGCCGAGTCAACCTCTCTCTTCACAGCCTATCTCCAGGAAGTCAGCACGACGCTTGATGACACTTGGACGGAGACGCCATCGACGTCCATAAGCGCAAGTACATTTTCTATGGATGAAGATGCCAGCGCAACGGCCTCGGTTATTGCGATAACAGAAGTGCCCGAGTCAACTCCCGTTATCGCTGCTACGATGGAGTCAGCTGACAACTACACTAGTCAAGGGTACAATGACTTTTGAACGAGTAATTTAACCATTTAACGCTATATTAGATCTGAGTTCAGTCTACAATTACAATGAAAATTTAATATATAATTTACTCGCTTGCTATTAGTATTGAAAAGTACTCGGAGCTATTTTTCTATTATACTTTGTAGAGAAATTTTTCCCCTGAGATTTCTTTTGCGCTGATAATGAAATAATAAATACTTTATTAATAAATAAAACTCATTGTATTTAACAGACCCATGTGATATTACTTTTTTGATAAAAAAAAAAAAAAAAAAAAAGAAAAAAAAAAGAAAAAAAAGTCTCTAAAGAAAAACAATCAGGATTAAATTACATTGATATCTAATGATTTATTTTAAGTAATTAAAACAGATCGAAATTAATTAGTTTTTTTTTTTTTTTTTTTTTTTTTTTTTTTTTTAATATGTTAATTTTTAAATAAAAATTGTTTGTATATGAATTTTATTAACTAGTGTATCTTTAAAAGTACTAATGATTGTAAATTTGTTTTATGTAAAAAAAATAAAAAGTTGTCAAAAGTCCAAGATGGAAAAGTAAAAATTTTTTATATGTAATTTGCGAATTATAGGCAGGAGTCGGAGAATATTTTTCATGAAACAGTTCATCTGAAGACGACGTCAGCAATAAATATTGATACGACCACACTTAGCACAATGGCTATAGAAACTGCGAGTAAATCCAACTTGCTCGTGGAAAAAGTAGATAAAGTGAAAAGAGTCGAGAATGAGCGGACGACGAAAAGGAGCTCGACCGTGCAAGACAATCAGGAGCCACTCACGGAAAAAGAGAAAGTGGAAGAGATGCCGGTGATAATGGTGAAGAAGCCGTCAGCTGGTTTGTCAACCTCGATAATCATGCCTGATGATATACTCGTAATGAATGTCACTGTGAAAACAAATGTCGCAGTTGGTCACATACATGGTGTGACGATTAATCCGATTAAAAAGCCAATACCGCAGGATATCGAAACGATAATCAATATTACGAATCGAAGGAAAGGAGAGGATTACGAGTATGATTATAGCGATCCAACGTTGCCACCATCTTTGCCCAACGTTAGGTGAAATACTTTGATCGTTCTATACGGTCGCCGTTATAAAGATAACTAAATATTTACTTATCAATAGGACCATATTCTATAATTTAATTTGGAAAACCACCTACATGCTAGTGATGTTATGACGGATGCTGAAAAAATTTATAATAAACCGAATATTTTGTACCATCAACGAATATATAAGATAGTATATTTACTATTTAAACGCTCTAATGTTCCTTGGCTGTTTTTTTTTTTTTTTTTTTTTTTTTTTTTTTTTTTTTTTTTTATCAAAAAAGTAATATCAAGGATTCCTCTTAGTACAATCGAGATGTTACGCTTTTTTTTTTTTCTTTTTTTAATGTATCTATGAAAGCTTATGTAATGTCAACCTTTTATAAATTATAAATTGTCTATATTTTTCAAAAATATATTTGATTTTATAATTATAATTATATTATTTTCCATTTCAAAATATATTCCTTAAATAATTTTAAAATGGCCATAATTTATCAACTCTTTTATTGAGATCCAGATTAAAAGATGGGCTTTTTAATAATCATGTATACTAAAAATTATTGATACTAAATTATAGATAATTAAATATGATATTATTTAAAAATAGAAAATAATCACTAGAAAATAGAAAAAAATAAGAGAATAAATTTATTTATTTAATATTCATTTTATTCTATGAAGAAGTTTTCAAGTAGATTAAACGAATTAAATGAATATTTTTGTTCTTGGGGCCTAAAGTATCGAGCCATATTTATTTTAGATAAAATTAATTTTTATTAAATTACGTCTCAACAATAATAATAAAATTAATTATATTATTTTGAATTTACAAATGTAATGAGATCCCTCATTTTCAGATATTGTATTTATTTCATGTTTTAAAATATTATTAAAATAAGAATTTTTTAATATACTTAGCATTAAATTTGTTTTAAAAGCATAGTTGATTTGAAAAGGTAAAATAATTGGTTATATTTATAAAAATTATGTGTGACTGACAATGGACGGAAGTTGCAATTCTTTGACAATTCGGTTACTTTAATTACAGGTTTTAATTTCAAAAAGCAGGTAAAATCTTATCATACAATAACAATAATCCTTTTCGTTATGAATATTCATTGTGAAATAAACCGTAAATGGTGCGCTTTATAAATGAAAGTTAAAGCTTGAAACGCTAGGATGATAATGTCGATAATTAGTTGAAATGACTGCTATGTATAAAGGGTGCCCTTTTACTCCCTTACTCAGAATAATTCCCTTCGTTGCCGCGGATGCTTTGGTCAAGGACAAGGACATTGTCACTGGAGCTGCAACTAGGTATCCTGTGAGCGCTGTTGTAATGCCTCCTGAATTAAAGTTAACGGATGTTAATTTTTACGAGATTGTCACGCAAAAGAATAGATTCCGCCCACCCGAGGAAACCGAAGGTATAAGATCGCCCTACTATAGTACTTTTCTTTCTTTATCCCTTGTAGTTAATATAAATATATATAGCAACTCTCTTGTACATATATATATATATTTTTTTTAATATTATAGTATTTTATTATTCGTTTTCCAAAATGTTTTTACAATAGTACAATAGTACCTATTGAATAAGTTAAATATTTCTTTTAATATTGAATATTTAATGTGTTATATATATATATATATATATATATATATATATATATATATATATATATATATATGTGTGTGTGTGTGTGTGTGTGTGTGTGCGTTTGTGCGTGTTTGTGCGTGTTTGTGTGTGCGCGCGTTTGTGCGTGTTTGTGTGTGTTTGAGCGTGCGTGTGCGTGCGTGTGCGTGTGTTTGTGTCTATGTAGCATGGATACACAATTATTGTATTATTAAGAAAGTTTTCATATTGTTGTAAAAAATTTATCATTGTATTACACAATAAAATTAATTAACTGCAATTTATTTATCGATGTAATACAATAAATTAGTATAGAAACATTTTAGTACAGTTTATAATGTACAATATTACGGGTTCGATTTGTAAAAGAATTTCGGCCCGTAATAACATCATATTTTACTTTTAATAGGTGGTTTTATACCAAGGGAGCCTCCATACTTTGATCCACTTTTCCACTCATCGAACATAAATTTGGAAATAGGAATTGGAGTTACGGTAGCTCCAGAAATCGTTTCAGTTATCAATCCTCATCGTAAAACCGATGGTATTATTCTATTTTTATTTATTATTTCATTCAAATTATTAAATTACAACTAATTAATTGCCTGTGCTTGTAAATATTTGTTTTCTACTTATTTCCACGTATTTCCACTTATCTCTTACGCTACTGTGCCAAAGAACTACGCAGTGCATGCTTGTACGAGCAACAGGAATACAATCACGGACAGATTTTACCGAGCAGAGTGCATTGTATAATATGCATATGTTACTATGGAGAAATTATATGTACCAACCAAAAATGCCCTCCATTAAAGATCGGCTGTCAACAAGTTAATGATTCTAATGACAAATGTTGCAGCAAAATTATCTGTGGTATATATCTATTAAACTATTTTATCCTTTATTCTTATACATTCCATTTACCAATAAATTACTCTCCATTTCATGTAGTTTTTAAATGATATTTGGTTTGTGAATTTATTCCGTGATAATACATTAATATATATATATATATATATATAAACATAAATTTCATTTAGGCAAATAGTCCTTATTATTCTTCAGAAATATCGAATTGAAAGACAAAATACAAAATTTAATTTTATCGATAACATTTACATTGAATTTCTTTATATTACTGTATATATTATACGATTAAATCCCATAAACTTTTTCTCTCTTCTTAATGAATAATTTCTTTCCGAAAATAGTACCTTATTTTCTAAGTCTAGGAAATAATTTTTTTAAAACATTCAAGAATATTTTTAATCGTCAATAACTGTCTACAATGATAATACATAAAAATACAAAATGATAAAATTATTTCTAATATTTTTTATAGAAATTCGTAATAAGTATAAATTAAAAAAAAAATCAAAAATACCATTCGTAATAAAAGTCATACAATTTAAAGGATATTAGGAAATTGTTTTCTCCTTTTTCGTTTTAGCTAGTAATGTCGAATCACCGACGGTTGTGTTGGACAGATTGGAGTCGAATTCCTCTTCTCAATACGAACCGACCGTATCGTCGGATCCATTTCGTGACGTCATTAAAACGGAGCCAGCACCAGATCTACCTTCCCTCATCGGCGATAGGATCATGCCATATTTGTTCGAACACGGCGTAACGACGCCGAGCAGCTTCTTCCAGGACGAGGTTAAGTCGCCGGCCGAACCCGATCGATCGCTCGCCAACCAATACAAGGCCAAAAATTTTAGCGCCAACAGCGTAAGCATAACGAATCCCAGTGTCGTGCCTACATTAGCCAATAACGAGCCCGTGGAGGACGAGTCGCTTTTTTCATTCGATAGCGTTTTTAATCTCTTTTTCAACGAGCCAACTTCTAACGACAGCAAATCAAGCACGACGACCTCGCAATTGCCCTCGCAGCCCGAAAATACAAACTACTCTACAACTCCTGTAAGTTTTGTAGATGCCAGGATATCGTCACCTACGTCGGTATTGTCGACAACAAGAGCAACCAAGACGTCGTCTACGACAACATCGATGAAAACGACGATGACGACGACAACGACAATGACGACGACAACGACAATGATGACGACGACGACGGCAAGAACAACGGGAAGTAATAACTCACTCTTACCAGACGGCGATTTAACGACTAGTAAAACATTCGAAAATAAGTCAACGCTCGGCACGAGTGGCGGAATCCTTAAACTCGCTGGATGCAATATCTACGGTCGTATGTATCGAGTGGGTAGAATTATCACGGAATTATCAAATCCGTGCCTCGAGTGTAGATGCACCGAAATTGGCGTGCAGTGCAAGCCTCTCGATTGTTAAAAATTGTTCCTAAACGAAATTGGATGGATTATGTTCGACTGAGCAAGAAATGAGAAGTGACATTGGAAAATAAAAACAGTTATTCGATGAACGAAAGACATGGGAGACTTTGAACAGAATATTAAAATATTCAAATATATATGAAAAATGCATTATGTTCAACGGAAATTATTATAAAATTATTATAAATTATTATAAATTATTATAAATTATTATTATTATTAATTATTAATTATTATTAATTATTAATTATTATTATTAATTATTATTATCATCATCATCATCATCATCATCATCATCATCATTAATTATGAGTAATTTTTAATTTTATATTTTCAAATTGGATAAGGTGTAGGAAAAATTATCGGAAATTTTTTATTAAAAAAAAAAAAAAAAAAAAAAAAAAAAAAAAAAAAAAAAAAAACCAAACTTTCAACTAATTTAATAAGCAAAAACATGAAACGTCATCTTAAGTATGAAATAGACTGAAATGTAAACAGTTTCATAACAAATATATATTTTTTTACAAGTATTAGGAGTTATCTCTTTTGTTTTTCATAACATTAACGAAATATTCAATCATTGTTATATAATTTAAATAGTTAGAGAGAAACGTATTATCTATAGTAGAAAAGTTGGAAAAGCAAATGATGATTAAATTGTCTTGAACGAAAATTTTCATAAATCATTTGTCTTTGTTCTGCATTATTGTGTAAAAAGAAAAAGAATAACTATGTTTACGATGAAAGTGAAAATTCGTAAAATCTATTGAAACATAAGATACTTAAGATAGTTTAAAATAACATAATCTTACACAATGTTTACTTTATAAATCACTTATTAAAACTATCATTGATATGATATATAGTTATGTTTTAATATAAATTTTATTCATAAAAATATTTCGAATATTTTATCGACAACTCTACCTATAAACATATAATCGAATTTATTGATTTTAAAAAACTTTTTAATATCATCAAATATGATTTTATATTAAAAACATTGTTTTTAAAAAATTTACGTAAATTTATATTTAAAATTTTTATATAAAATAAAATCATATTTACAAGTATTTCATTTTCACGGGAAGGGCCATAACATTTTCAACATTATTACGTCTACGTAAAATAAAAAGTACAGTATTTAAGGAATATTATGTTTCGTATTAAGCATATTTTCTTTTAATATTTTCCCCTTATAAATTAAGCGCTTGCATAAGAAAATTGAAATAAAAACAAAGTAATTTTAATATATACGTTATATGGAAAAAGCACATAATCATTGTATAATTATTAATTTTATAATTATTTTTATTAGTTCAATCTGTACTACATAATATTAAAAACTTTTTCCGTCTTTTCAATTTCGATTATATCGCATTGTCTTTGGCGATATGTCGGCGAGTATTTTGTCGGCAGTTGAAGTCGACAATGTGACGATGAAAGAAAAAGTGGAGAATAGAGATTAAATAATAGAAAACGTTTCAAACGTTGTAGTTGGGAACAATCTTAAGATGGATTTATATTCTCTTTTTAGTTTGTAAGAATGAGAATCTTTGTGCAACTTGTGAAAGTAATATTCTTAAAGTTGCAAGATAAAAAGTTATTTAATTATTAATATTTGGAGATACTTTTATTAAAAAGTCTTTATATGAGTTAGTGGAAGTTGATCGTTAAAAATAATTTTGATAAGGATGTGTTTCTTGAAATCAATTGATAAGAATAGCCTACAATATGTAATCCTATTTATTTGAAAAATTAATGGTATTCGTTAGATTTAAGTAAACCCCGAAAATATTATCTTAACAATTTCGCCTAAATATATTTAACGATTATTGATAAATTCTCGTTTAACAAATAATGGAAAAATTATATACGATTCAGATGTTTAGATTATAAGTTTTTTTAAATTAGATTAATTCTTTTTGTCCTTGCATCAACGGTTCTCATAATACTTAAATTATTTTATAATATGTATTTAGTTAAAATGTAGTCTTAAAATGAAAAAAGATCTCAATATAAAACTTTATAAAATAACTAATTTATATTTGTCATCATTCGGAAGTATAATTTTTAATTAAAATAATTTAAATTTCAAGCAGCAATCAAAATTATGCATCAAACATATTTTCAGCTTTAATATGTTTTATATAAACTGAAAATAAATAGTATAACACCATCGGTAAATCTGTGTAGTTTTTTTTTTTTTTTTTTTTTTAATCATTGCTTCCAAATTTAATACAACATGTTAATAATGTTAATTTAATTAAGGATATAATCTAAGATAAGTAAAGTATTTTTATTGCGATGTAACTGAAATTTGTGTATATTATATTTACGTACATAAAGATACAAGGATTTTAAATATTGAAGTTCATTGAAAATAATATGCTTGTCTTGATATACGTCAATTAAATTAAAATAAATTAATGTTAATGATATTTAACGTAAATTTTGTTTTACGCTATCGATAATATAGAGAGATTTCAAAACGAAAAGTCCATACACGAGTATAAAATGACTTAATATAGTATAGATAATATTCTAGATGACTGCGAACATAAAAAAATCAACATGTAACGATAACTATAAATATAATAATAAAGTAAATCCTCACAAATTATTGTCGTTTTAATATTATGAAATATATCAAAGGGAACTGTCATTTATACGAGAAATTCCTCCATTTTGTTTAAAATATTTATTAAATATACGGATTTTCATAACATTTTATACAGATAAATATTCAATATTATATAAGCATGAAATGATAATAGTTAAGATTTTACTTATCACACTGAAATATAAAGAAATTTAACTTAATGATTCTGTTTAGCCGTAAAAGCATAAGCAACATTATTTCTCAGCGTAACATTAAGAAATCAATTAACCGCGGAAGGGAGACAATAGCCATAAGACGTATACGAGCTGCATCGTGTCGTATAGAGGTATATGTATAATGATAATGCGTCTCACTTTAATAAAGATCGACAAAGTTTCCCTCTCTTCGCCAGGCGTTGTCTAACTTGTGTCTACCGACTTTCTCAGTTCAATTTGCAATGTAATATTAAAGAGAGGTCAGAAGGTAGTAGTGGTCACTGTACCAACAGAGACCTAGGAGAGACCCTTTTGTTACCGATGTTATAGGCATAGATGTGGTTCTCCTTTGGACTCTTTGTCTCTTCTTATCGGCGACGACAAGCCAAGCTTCCTGCTTTTCTATCCTGCTCCCTTTCCTCGTGCTTTATCTCCATTAATTCATTATATCAAGTACAATACCCCTCGAAAATGAGAGAAAGTGAGACTGACAGGAAGGGTGGAAGAGTGCGAGAGATAAAGAGATAGAAAAACAGATAGATAGATAGATAGATAGAGAGAGAGAGAGAGAGAGAGAGAGAGTGAGATAATACATAAGAATGAATTTTAATTTTAAATTAGTATATTAGCAATAAATGCTATATTGCAATATTTATATCGAACAATACAATTACTAACATTCATTAATGTATATAATTTAATAATATTTCACGACATAAGCCTGAACCATTCAGTAAAATTTTCACTATATCAACACCGAGTTAGTCCGATTATAAAAACTGAATTTTCGTTTTAAAATTATTAGTAATATTTTATATACTTTTTAAAATATTTTTTTCAACATAGAAATATTGTTTTTCATCTATACATATCTATATAAAATTTTTTTAAATTTTTTTTAAGTCAGGAACAGCTTATTACCTATATAATGCAACTAATATATCCTTGTCATGGAAGAAACGTTTCCAATGAATGTGTTTTCTCCACAAATAATTTAAATTAATAATTGTTATCGATATTATTTACAAATATTATTATGATTCTCGATGAAATCAAACAATCACAAAAAAAAAAAAAAAAAGAATAATGTCGCAAAGTACGAATAAAGTACATATATTAAATCTAATGCATTTTTTGTTTTCATTTTTAAATTGACATCAGAACGTAATTATTTAATTTATAATAAAAAATGAAAAATAATTAAGTTAACAGTTATATGATAACCAATAATAAATCAATTAAATTATTGAACCCTCCAAAGCAATTGAATCGAAAATTTTTTCCATAACCATTTGCATAATTCATAATAGTCGATGACCGAAATCATTTGAGAAAAATACGTTTAAAGTTCGCATAACATTGAACTGTGTAGATTTTTTTCAGCTACTGGGTCACGAGTAATGAATTATATCGTATTTTGCAATGAACATGTCTATCGTAAGAGTCAGTTGCTCTCAATAATGCATAGTTAAATACATATTTCATCAATTCCATAATTAATTCGTTATTTATTATTACTCATAAGTAATTCAATAAATAAAAACAATTATTATTATCTAAACTGTAAAACTTTTGTAAAAATGACATTGCAATTAAATCAAAAGAAAATTTATATCTCTACTGTTCGTACTATAAATTCAATCTTTTGTAAAGTTATGAACTTAAACAATTTAATAAATGTTGTTCTCTAAATTCAATGCAACTAATAATATAAGTAAGTGACAATCTAAAACAAATTACTAAATACAAATACCAAATCAAATAAGCTAAAAATAATTTTTATTTAGATTTAGATAACTATATACATAATAACACATAAGATTAATAAATTATATAAAAGTATATTTTTTAATTATTACTAAAAAGAATTATAAAAATACTATTAAAGTGTATTTTTATAAAGTAATATACGAATCGATTATAGCATTTAGACAATTACTTACCATTGGGGTGAAATTTAAGTTAATTATTACTATTAAATAAAATGGATATCTTTAGTTTTTTAAAATTAATATTTGACTTTAATAAATTATGATTGTAATTCAATAGTACAAAGAAATATTCTTTAACAATGTATTATATATATATATATATATATATATATATATATATATATATATGTATTACATATTATATTTTATCAATTGAATAAAAATCAGTGCAATCTCCCTTAAGCTTTAGAAAATGTTTCAAAATAATTTATTATTAAACTTTTTAACAAATTTATTAGAACTTAAATTTTAACAGTTCAGTATATACGCGCACACGCACACAAACAAACAAACACAAAATTAAATATTTGCATTAATGAATGTACTATCCTATTGCATTTAGCAAATGGTACTTTAACGTTTTTATAACTTTACTGACATTGCAAACAGAATTTTATGCAACAAATTTTAAGTCAAGAAGAATGAGAGAAAATTTTTTTTCTATCAAATAGCATTATCCTATTTATTCCGAATTATCTTTTGAAAACTGTAAACATTATATATTTCGATTAATTTTACACTTTTCCAGATAGATATAATTTTCAATATTTTCCATTTATCAAAATAAATACGAACTAAAGCACATTAACATTTTAGATTATACGTTAATCTTATATCACTCGTTTTGAAATGCTCTCGGAAAACAATGTTATTAGCATTGAAATCTATTACATATGATTATTTATAATATATTTTCATGATAAATTCAAATTAACTGTCTATATACTTACCTATCGATCTGTACATTCGTGAAAAAATGGTTTCTCTATAAATACATGAATTGTTTTACACAGTTTTCATATATGTTATACGGAAAAATAGTTCGCATACAATAAATTACGATGAACTATACAATTCAGTTATTTTTTTCATGCATACGTGTCTACATGAAATGCATGAAAATAAACATTGCAATTAGACAATAAACTCCGAGTTAGTACATTTTTATGTATGAAATATTAAACGTTTCAGAGCCAACTTATAGAATATTTACCCACAGTATGAGTGCAGTAAATGTAAAGAAATACGAATTGTTCCTAAATTTCTAATGAATATGTTTACGATGAATGAATAAATATAATGAATTATATTAAATATAGTGAGGATATGGTATATGAAAATTGTAATTAGTTTTTAAGTTTATTATTTATAAAATAATTAACTTTTTTTTTTGGAAAACGTTTATTTCCTATAACACAAGTTAAAAATATTAGTTACAATTCGAAAGAAAGTTGAATATTAGTTGCATTTCTTAATCTCACACTCTATATCCTTTCTAATTTCATTAAATTCTTTCTTATGCACATATACATTTATACATACGCTATTTCGATATTGGCAGTACAGTTTTACATGAAGGTTCGCGATATTTTATTTTATACATTAGAGCATTTTTTATGTTAAAAAAAATTAAAGTGTAATATTCTTTTCAACGTCCTAAAGAATTTTGTTCCTTAAGGATTCAAGTAGTTGTGTGTTACTGCGACTAATAAGGTATTTGCCGTGAAACTTGATAGGATTTATAGAATATTTCACGATAAATTTTCCTACGATTGACGTAAAATTATTCTGTTTCTTTCTATAAACCGCATTATTTATAATGCAGTATATTACGGATAATAATTGTATTTTAATGATCCTCATTATGGACATGATAAATTCTCATCAAATGTATATTACAAAATACTTGTAATATCAAATGTCACAATGCGTAAATTGTTACAATTTTCCAATATAATTTGCAATGTAATATTTATTATACAATCTCTAATAAATTAAGTTGATATACAATAATTTTGCAGAAATTCTTTTTAGGCAGTTTTTAAATGCATAGATATTTACTTAATGAGTTGACGTTTCTTATATTTGATAAATAACATACTAATCAATGTATGGCAAAGTGCATCATAAATGTCTCCTGTAATTATGTGCTTATTACCTTTTTTTTTTTACATAATATAAGTAATTAGTAATATTTTCTTTATTTTACAGTAATAATACCAATTTTTCTACTTAAAAATTATTTCCCCCTACAACTAACGATTTTTTTTCTGCATAAAAATACTTCAAACACAATAGTTTATGTATAATAATATACGCAATATTCGAGAAGTATTTTTTTCTAATAATTTCTTAATATCTTCGATAATTTATTCTTTTTCCTTACTAGTATGTAAATTAATCAAATTATTTTCTTCAATATTTTAATTAACACTTAAAATTTTAGTAAATATTGGTATAGAAAAAAATTATTGAACGACTAAAGAAGATTAAAATAATATTTCATATACTCAGCTATCCGTTATATTACATGAATACGAATAATGAGACATCTTAAATATTTCCATAATCTAACATTTATTAGTCATTTCATTATAAAATTTAATTATTAAATTACTGTTTTTTTTTGTTTTTTTTTTGTTTTTTTTTTGTTTTTTTGTTTTTGTTTTTGTTTTTGTTTTTGTTTTTTTTTTGTTTTTTTTTTTTTTTTTTGAAAGACTTAAAACTATGCAATAACTAGGATTTTGTGTAAAAACGGTAGTGTAAAACGGAATTAATATTTTTTAAAAATTAAAACTCCTTTATTAAAATTATTGTATGCGAATAAAAAATAACTACACATTACATTAGCCAGTTATTCAAATAGCACCATAGCAGCTTGAAATTATTAACAATTTAGACACCATAAAAATTAAATTTCACAAACAATTAGGTGATATATTGGTTAGTATAAAATAATAAAACACGAAACAAAAATTATATTTTACGCATACGTTTATGTACTTTTAGGCTTCTAAATTATACCACCAACAATTTAAAAGTTTGTGGTATAATTATATATCACATAAAAGCAATTTTATATGAAAAAGTGCGAATATTATACATACTTAAACCGAAAAAAATAAAATTTTCTTATGTAACTCTAATTTTAATTATAATTATTTATCGATTGAAATTAAAGGATTTCTTGTTTTTCTTAAACTTGTGTTTATTTTAAGCCGCAATTTAAGGAAAATATCAATGAATGTTTCAGCTATATTGTAATAATTTAATTTCGACTACACTAATCATATAATTTCTAAACATAATTAAGAAAATAGCTCGATTCAATTAAAAATTAATCTTTTACAAATCTGTTTCATCTCCTTTATTTATAAGAATTATTAAGTAATTTCAAGTATTAATATACTATTTGGTTAATTACTGAAGGTTAAATATTAAATATTAAAAATTATTAACATATTAGATTGTCAAATATTTGCATTGAATTTTGTTGGTATGAAAATGTATATTTGTTATTGTACAAATCAACTATACTTTATATACTATACAAATATACTATACTTTGTATTGTATAAATCAACTATAGTTTTAATTAATTTAAAAAGTTATATATTTTGCTTTATAATTTTCTAAAAATGATGAAATAAAATAATGAAAACATTGGCTAAATTAGTAATATAACTACGAGTTAAAGTTTAATTAGAAATATAATATTTTAAGCTATCTCTATCATTAAAATATTATCGAATTTTATTAATTATTATAAGATTAATAATTTTATATAATGTCATTGATAATGTTAAATATCGGATAATTGAAAACGAATCTTTTGTATCCTTGAAATTTATTACCAAGTACTTGTAATAGAATTTTTGTATTTATTCGAATTCTAATAAATATTCGAGAACTATGAACACTGAGTTACGTAATATTTATCGAATTTTCATCAATATTGTTTAAATATTTAAAAAATTATATTATACCAAATTATGACATCTCGATACCAGCCATACACAAATAATAAACCATACAATTGAAATGTTTTATTTTAAATTGGCAGATGTTCTTTTATCTGAAATGACCAATGATTATAATGCAACATTCAGTGGCTAAAATTTCATTAATCATTACACCATTATATAATAAACTTAAACATACAGTAATGGTATAATGAATAATTTTTATTTAATCGTATAATATTTAATGGAAAAAAAAATAGCAACAACAAAAAACTCACTTATATCGATTAATTATGATTAACTAATTGTTATAGAATTTTATTAGCTTTGTTCGTCTTTTTTCCTTGCAACTAGAACATTGTAGTTTGCTAAATTCATTTAATAAATATATATTATAACGAACTGCTAGTGAATAAAGAAACATAAACTTTTACAATATGAAATACATAGTGAATAAAAGTGCGCTTTCGACCGGATAAGAGCAACGTGGTAGCGTTATCGCACATGATCGTTTCCTTTTTTTAAATTATTTGCAAATGCTTTCTTGCGTATCTTGATGATTATAATAAAAAGTTTAAAGAAAAACACAATGGCCATATAAACTTGTCGAACGAATGCCGCGAGCCTGTGTTTATTATACAATTAATTACAAATGAATTTTGCACTTTTGACATGTGTCGCCCTCTGCCCATTCTTGGAAACGCATTATTATTCTCACGATCAAATCAACGACTAGCTGCCATCAGATATTGGCTATTGGCGTTTGGCGAATCGCAAGCGTCCACTCGCACAAGCGAGCACTGTATCGCGGCCGCGATACGCAGTCGCGTTATTTAATCGTCGGCCGTAACGACTCACTCGAAGACCGCGTCGACGGCCTCTCGTATCTTCACTATGAGGAAGGACTTCCTACAGAGCTGCACGAGCATCTCGATTCTTTGTCAGGAGGGCGGCCTCAACTGGGGCAGAGCGATGAGGTAGACATTGCCAAGGATGGCGCCGACCGCGAGGAGCGTCACGCTCACCGCCGACATCAGCCTGACGAAGCGGACGAAGCTGCGGCCACGCGCGTCCTTCTTGCTCTGGTTAGGGAAGACGGCGAGGCCGAGGAGAGGACCAGCCAGGGCGCCGGCCACGTGAGCCGCCCAGCCGACGCGTCCGTATCCCAGGAGTCCGGGTACGGGAAGCGAGGCTACGTCCGCGCCCGCGAGCACAAGGACGGCGCCGAGTCTCCAGCCCGCGTACCGCAACTCCCCGTGGCACTGTAACAATAAAATCCCATTGAGTAGTAGTGTGCCCTCGATGTCCTGCGAGAGAACCTGAGAATATTAAGCGAGAGCTTGCGGATGTCTGACACGCGACGCCATTCGACTCGAAGCTTAGCCTCTGCTTCAACTTAACACTTGCAAATAAAGAAAAACGGTGACTAGGGACAAAGTTTTATTACGCCAACGGTTTGCTCGATCCATCGTTTATAAATCTCGTAATCATTTGAAAGACAATGTTTATTTAAAATCGCACTTTACCTTGATAATAATACACATTGAACATATCGAGAATCGTAGTTTTTAATGTAATTCAATTTTAATAAAATTTAACGCGTAACTTTAACAATGGAACAGGTTTTGCTTAGTTTCGTTGACAAAGCTGAATTAAAAATACAATGCTTCCCTACGACTTTGCATAATGAATTTTCCCGCTACTAATCGACGGTCGTCGATTCGATGTCGGCGATACACATGCCTACGTGATGTTAATACTTCCTTAATATATCGTTCGCTGCTTCAAATCATTGAAATGATTATAATTATTAGATAAGCATTTGGCATAGATCGCGGCGCCATTGACCGTAAAGCGGTGACTTCGACTTTGAAAGTACGAAAGACGAAAGAGAAGGAGATGAGGTAATCCGAGGACGCAATTTCATCAAGCTTATCATCGAGAGATCTCGAGGCTCTCGAGGAAGCGAGAAATGCATAAAAAGTCGTAAGGAAAGTCCAAATAAGAATTAATGTCTGGCGTATGTTGGCTATACCCGCTGAGCGATAAAAGTACGTGTGTAAGAGAGCGGAGCTGCCCAGATCTATCGAATGGCATCTCGTGTCAGAGATACAGAGGCCAGGTAGAAAAGTGAAGGAAATGGCTCACCAGATAAAGATGAGCGAGGTGGCTCGTGAGGAGGGCGTAGACGCCTGCCGATGCGCCGATGAGATAAAGGTTCGGCTGCAACAGCGAGGCCCCGAGTGCGCCGCAAACTCCACCGCCGAGATAAATCGTGCCGACCGCGAGCCGCCCTTGCTCCACCTGTGAAACCCCAACCACCAGCGCAGTCTACGTTATTGAATGTTAACGGCCTGAGTGGCGGCTATTCCGTCGATAGTTCCACTCTATCGTCGGAGCCTCGTTACCCGGCGTAATAAGCCCCGTGGGATTCTATCTTCAAAGGGATCAAACGCCATTGGCCACGTGCTTTTAATGCACAATAATTTATCATGCCGTGATTACGTGCGCAACTCGCTTCTTATGAAGTTAAGTGGTCGCTCTTGAATTTCGAGCTACGGCCGATTTAATTTGCGATTTTAACGAATGCCCCCGAGAAGGTTAAGAAGGTATGCATGGCTAATGGTATAATTACTATCATCGTTAAAAGCGAATAAAAATTGTGTGCAATTCATAGGGCGATGAAGGGTTAAGTAAATAAAGGCAATTTCGAGCATTCTCATATATATATATATATATATATGTAATTACTTGATGCTCAATCCAGTCTTTATCCATAACCTAACGCCTATCGATTTATTCGCATCGTGAAATTTCACGGCGATTTACGCAAAACGGGGGTTCGTTGACTGTCCAATTTATTCAATTTATCGCTCCATCATTATGCACCCCCATAAATACAAACTAATATGACCACGGTAATGGGCCAGCCCTTATCGGCACTTTCCAACGCACGTATTTACTTCTTTAATTTTAAATTTACCTTATTCATCGGACATGTAATTTGCAATTCATATATACGTGAAGGACAGACAATGGGATTATCGTGGCGAGGACGGGGGGACCGGAGGCAGACGGTTGACTTCGATGTAAGAGTCTAATTAGCCTCACCTCGAGTGGAGCGGCTAGCACAAGCTGAATGACTACGTTGAGCATGAGATGAAGGGCGTTTGAGTGCAAAAGCATGTAGGAAATAAACCTCCAGCCTTGAATGCGCTGGCGAGGATCGTAGAGCAGCCATTCGCGAAGCGTTACCTCGTCACTCAGACAATGGACCGTTATCTGGAAGAATGGATTCTCACTTTAAACTTTCCTTTTTTATTTCCATTTTTTCTCACATGCTTATTTGTTAATATCACGTTGAAATTCTTCTTAAATTACATGATTTTTACTGAAAAGTTCGTTCAATAGTGTTGTTATTATTATAAAATTGGTGAAAATGGTTTCATTGTTTTTTTTTAATTTTTCGACCGAGTATTATAAAATGATTGTCAATAAATTTAATTTGATTACTCGTACAATGCTGCATATTTTTGTAATAAAACAAAAATTCAGAAATCAATGTTAAAATACACTTTAAGTCAATTTTACACATAGTATGGTATAATATAATATAATATGACTTTAATAATTTATATAAAAATTATGCGTTTTAATTATAATTTTTAGACAGAAGGGACGTAAGGAAATCAAAATGATCGACAATATTGCTTATTTAAAGTTCGTTTTGATGTGTAAATATCATTTATTATAATACTTTTCATTATCATAATTTAACTAGTTACTGGCATACAGAGAATGATAAGACTACTTTACGTAGTAATAAAGAATTTTTAATTATAAATATCTTAAACGAGTCATAATATGTTTAAATAACTTGAAGAATATAATAGACATTTCAGCGCAATTAGATATATTTTTGTAATATATAAATAAGTCGATTATATACGTAAGAAAAAATCGGAAAAATTTTGTCTATTAAAGTACACTTTTTTTTCTAAATATATTTCTTCCTCTAATTATTTCTTATCTTCTGCCCCCCGCCCCCTCCCCCCCCCTATTCTCTAATAAATAGCCACACATGTAAACTTTCTACAGGTTATATTAAATTATTACATCTTTATTAACTTCTTTATTAAATAAACTTAAATCATTTAACGCTGTATGAGCGATGTATGAGTCAACATTACAATATTGCAGTAGAATAAATATTCTTTATATGATAAATAAATTTACATAAATAAGTAATTTTAATGTCGAAATGTTTATAGTAATGTGAAAAGAAAAATATCTGTATTTTCATAAGAATTTCTCTCACAAATTTCATATAGTATTCTTCGTGATATAAACTGGTATGACAAAATAAGGACTTTATCGTATCAAAGAATTGTGAGTGTAGTTGCTTAGATCGTTTCTAATATCCAAGCTAGAAAACAGTAATTTTAATGCCACCACATAACATGTAATATACACGCTTCAAGGATTGCACTTTGGGTCTCACTGTGTATCTTTACGCTTGATTAGACCAAATTTCGACATTACAAGTACGCATATTGCACAATAACGTGCATCCTTATCATGTCAATGTTACATACCGACTAAATTGTCGGCTAAATCAGACTGCCGCTTGGGGAGGTAGAAACTCCATTTCACTAGTCCAGAATAATTTTAAACAAAATGACACTTCTACGCTTCGGATGAGGGAGAGGGAGTGAGAGAGAGAGAGAGGGGGGGGAGACACTGACAGAGAGAGTGAGCGAGTGAGTGGGTAGGGGGGAGTGTGAGAGAAAGCGAGTGAGCGTATAGGTGAGAGACGGAAGAAGAAGAGGAGGGAAAAAGGTATAGGGCTGGAGACACTAAGCACATCGTGACTGAAAAGTCACACGCGCAATTTTCCCAGCAGCACAATTTCATCATCCTTGCATGGACGTGAAGCACAATTCTACCTCTCGCTTTAATGAAGATTGAAGAGTGCACGAGGAGCGACTGTAAATAATTATTACGGCAAGTTGAGTCAGCCTCCCTCGCACTATGGTTGAGGGATATTAATTTACCGAGGGACGCGTAAGCCTTCGCCTCTCAGTATGTCACTACTAACACAGACACTTTTCAGTTATGGTGAGGGCGAGTATCGAATGGCACCAATTCTATAAACATTTACGCGTACAACTATCGACGACGTGTCGTGAATTTTACTTCCTATATCGGGTAGAAATACGAGAGTTCTTATCATCTCTTTCAATTTTCAACTAAGCTAGTTTGTAATAAATGAGTCTTCCAACTTTTTCGTGAGTAACAGATGAAAGGGACGATCGAGAATTCATTTATCTTTTACAAGAGCCGAGGTTAGTGCTTCTTATAGAACATTTTATAAAAGATATGAAAGATTTCGTGTTGAATTTGAAAAATTTATTAGTTTACTTAATGAATAATATATAATAGCAATTTTAATTATTTTGAACAATTATAAATTAATGTCTATTTCATATTCATTTGCGTTCTTTTTTATACCGTCTTGAGTTTAATAGTTCGTACATTAACTTGTGAGAAACAATTAATTATGAGAAAATACATGTTTGCTCAACTTAGCATAAATGATATTAGAAAATAAGATGATACTTTGAATAAACTTTGAATAATTCAATAATCATTGGTTTCTATTCAATTTTTATAATCAACCTATTTTAGAACTCTAATTAAAAATCATTTTTTTAATTTTTTAAGGAAAATCATCGCATCGAATTAATCTTTATAGCATGTTTCTGCAATACAAGAAAATAAAAATATCGAAAATGAAATATTACAGAACTAGCAGTTTCACTATCAGAATGAAAATAGAGTTTCAGAAAATCAACGTTTTTAATTGCCTCGAAAATAAAAAAAAAAATGTACACTATTAAGAAGATAGATACGTTTGAAGGTTCTAGAATAATTTCCTTTAAGGTGAGGGTTAACAATTTTAGAAGAGATGACGAGAAACGTTAAACAAAAAATACTTAGGAGTGTTGATAGACACTCGCGAAGCCACTAAAATATTTCTTAATACCCGATGCTTATTAGGTTAGGAGATTACTGCTATCATTTATTTTCTTAACATCTATTCCTCTAATATTGTATCAACAAAACTGCGTAACAAGGATAATGAGAGAGAGAGAGAGAGAGAGAGAGAGAGAGAGAGAGAAACAACAAAAGCTTGATAATCTTTATATGTGTCGAGTTACCCGCTGAGTAAATCCTAGTAAGATCCCCCTGGAACTCGAGCTTTGGTATACTATATGACCTTCCATACTTTGCACCCCCTCCCCCTGTCATATACTGTAACGTCGCTATTCATATTGTCCGTGTCTCCCTTACATTCATTTGCTTATATCGTTCGCCATCGTATCTTCTACACTTTATTTCTCGTCTTAAAATTTTTAATTTTTAATGTATTGGAAAAGTTGTAATGACGAAGCTTGATTTAGTGAAAACGAAATTTTAATTTTTTTAACTAACGTACAAAATAAAAATAATTCCAACGTAGATAATTTAATAGAATATATTCGTACAATTAATGAAGAAAAATTATTGTACATATTTTTCGATGTTTGTAAACAGCTTTAAAAGTTAGAATATCCGCTCTCGCTTAACATGTATGGCTAGTATAAACCTTCTTAATTACACGTTTTTAAAAGTTTTTATGAATTATTAAAGTATTTTCAAAATAAAAATACAAATATGAAGATTATATGTAATATTCAACCTAGGAATTATAATAAATAGATCAAGTGGATTGTATTAATAGAATGTATGTTTAGATAACAGATTATCACGGTGTTAGACTTTTAATTTAATAAAAATGAAAATGTATAAACCCTTGTGTACTCAATAATCTATATTTCTATATTTACCCCGATTATTACTTACATATTATTTATTTCTATGTAGAATAAACAATAATCTATTTCAATATATATATATATATATATATATATATATTCGTTTGTCATTTAATGAAAAGTTCAAGTGATAATTTACACGAGTATGCTTCTACCGACGATAGTTATGGAATTATGTCAATGCATAGATGATAAAATCAATTAATTCTAGTATTAGAAATAATTGATTATAGTATCAGAAATTTTGTGATAGAGTAAATAATGACTTTTTTTCTTTATCATCTGTTAATAATAAATGAAATTCAATTATCGATTTCAATTAAAATAAACGCTAAATTTTTATTAATGACGTGTTGTCAATATTGTATTGCAATACATTAACATTAACACATCTGTGTTATGATACAATTATAGGCTGCAATTATTTTATACTACATTTTTTTTTGTCATATACTTCAATATATATTTATAGTTGTTGTATAAATCATTTAAATCTGTGTTTAATTATTTAAAAAGTTATTTTTTTAATTTATTACACCACCATCAATACAAAATGCTAATAGCAAGAAATTAATTTTCTTCAAGAATAAATTTGATAATTAGATTATTGCTATTTTATAAAAAAAAAATTGCTAGATAATTCCATACTACATGCTTTTCATACGATAATTTTTTTTAACGATAAAACAATACTGTAAAAACTTAAAAAATAATTTCATTTTACAATGAAAATTACCTTTCCTACTATTTATTTCATTGCCAGTGCTGAAACATGAAGACATCGGGCTCGAACAAAATGTTTACTTATTATTATAATTATAAAAATAATGTTAAATAAAAGTAAATTTATTTGTAAGAGTAGAAAATTAGTATAAATACGCGTTCGACAGATTTAGCCCAAAATACACAGTACGCTATGACTGAGATTAGTTTTCAACACGACATGGAAATCCTTACAACAGAGAGACAGAAAGTGGATGGCACTTTTAAAGATTCAGAATGTTTTGTTAACATCGGTAAAACATTAATCACGAAGTCACCATCCGTTTTATTAAGATTTCTGAAATTGTTATACTGCGTTGTGCAACATGGCGCATCTAACGATATTGTCCAATTATAATTGTAGTGCATCGTCACGTAACGTCTTCCGGTTACGGATGGCCTTGGATACGGGTGGTAAGTTTAATAAGGACGTCCGGTTTTGAATGGCCTTGGATACGAATAGGGCGTTAAATATCAACGCCCTGGTTGCTGCTGCTGATGCATTTAATAAAGGTAGGTTGCCTGGGGTCCTATGGCCTGATGGGTGCGGGCTGATGTTGATGGTTGGGGTAAGGGGTAAGGGGTAAGGGGTAAGGGGGGCGAGAGGGGGATTTACAGGGATGCGACGCAAGCGTCCAATATAAGAGGGATTTTCCTGGCGAATGTGCTGTTAAAACCAAAATTGGTGGCGATGGAAGAAAGCTCGCGGAGTGCTTTTCATCACATACCTATAATATACACGTCTATCGTGTATGTCTGGTATGTATCGGGTTGCTGCTGCTTACTTAACTTACGCTGCGCATTGAATTTATGCCGGCAATTACGTATTCACTGTACCGCGACTCAATGTACTTATTACGTCTCGATGAATGCGCGTGTTCGTAACGCGGCAGTTTTTCTTTTCTCCAATCGATTGTACACGTCAATATCATTTGCATTTCATCTGTATATCTATTATTGTGGTATTACAGTGTGGTACGGAAATAAAATTGCGGTAAAAAATTAATTTTCAATAAAAATTGTTAAAATGAAACTACCAATTTTTCGATACATTGCTAGCCGTGGAGATTTATAAAAAGTAATCGAATTTGATTTTTTATTGTAAGATGATGAACTAAACATCACTGTCTAATTGAGTTAAATTTTATTCTCGACGTATTAATATAAGCGCGTATGAATCTACTTACATTTTGAAGAAAAAAAATTGAAAAAAATTTCGTTAATTTTATTATATATGTTAATTACTCTATAAAATTCATTTATGCATTAGTATTTATTATTGAAATTCAATTAATAATTGCTCCTAATATTATATCGATATTTCTAAATTGATAAATATCTTTAGAACTAATCGAGTCAATAGAATATATTACGATTATTAATTTGAAATTGTAAGTGTCTCGGAGTAGACTTAAAAACGTCCCGATGATGTTAGGTGGGGGTGTTTGCTGTGTGTCAAGTGAAGGAGACAGATGCAATTATTCAATTCAACGCACAGTGTATCTTGCTTTTCTATTTATTTTCTGAATACAATGATATGATTATAAATGGTGTTTATAGTATGTACGTGAAGAGCCGTCGCTGTTGTAAGTCGTAGCTGGTTTAAGGCAGGGCGAAAGGCGTCGCTGAATTTAGATGGACGAAAAACCGTCGCTGAATTTAGATTTATGTTTAAGATACGTTAATAAATGTTGCTGTTATGCTATGGTTAATTTCACTCTTAAATGACACTTAAATTACATACACTCGTCTCTGCTGGAATATGGCGCACTTAAATTGATTTTGAATTTCTTATGGCTTCACTGTTATTTATACTAATATTAATACTAATGTAATTACTTAATTGGTATGTGACGATGTTGATAACCGATAAACGATAACCGATAAACGATAACCGATAAACGATAACCGATAAACGATAACCGATAAACGATAACCGATAAACGATAACCGATAAACGATAACCGATAAACGATAACCGATAAACGATAACCGATAAACGATAACCGATAAACGATAACCGATAAACGATAACCGATAAACGATAACCGATAAACGATAACCGATAAACGATAACCGATAAACGATAACCGATAAACGATAACCGATAAACGATAACCGATAAACGATAACCGATAAACGATAACCGATAAACGATAACCGATAAACGATAACCGATAAACGATAACCGATAAACGATAACCGATAAACGATAACCGATAAACGATAACCGATAAACGATAACCGATAAACGATAACCGATAAACGATAACCGATAAACGATAACCGATAAACGATAACCGATAAACGATAACCGATAAACGATAACCGATAAACGATTGAGAAAAGCTAATGATGGATAAGAGATGCGAACGATTGGTAAAAGTAGAGTGAGCAATAACCGATGACCGCCGAATGATTGAAAAAAATACAGTGAGCCGCCCTTGTTAAGTATTAGCGGTGCTTGGGTTTGTTGATTGGCCGAATGTCTTTATGACGTCGGTCCGAGGCTACAGAATATTCGACAAGTCGTTGAGGATTCGAGAATTGCCAATCGTCGTTGCTATGCGGAAAAATATTGTAGAACGCTTGACAATAAGGCGTAGACTAAAAGATAATTCGCAGAAATCAATGTTTACAAACATAAGACTCCGAGAGCTTGTACTTTTCCCATATTTAACATTCTTCGAACGTTGCTCCAATCCGTATTATATTATTTTTGTATATAATCGGCAAAATTATCTTCTATTAAAAAAAAAAAAAGTCATTTTGTTTTTTCTCGCTTTATATCCATTTTCTAGAATCAACGTAAATGCAAACTGTGTGGCATGAAAGGTAAGATCATTATAAACACTTAACATATTCAAGTGCTTAAGGCCTTTGATGCTAATTAATGTTTACATCAGAGTAATGAATATGAAACGTTAATATTAAAATTATCAATACTAGATTATTTTATCAATATTTCACGAAACGTTCGTAATAAATCATGCAACGTTATCGTTACTAACTGAAACATGTCACTTAGTTTATTGGAATGAAAAATTGATTTTTTTGCTTTAAAATTTTAATAACTAATTAAAAACGAGAAAGAATTATAAAACTTTATGCAATAAAAGAAAATAATGAATATTTTTGGAAATTGAATTGCGTGTTCGGTGGGAATCAGCAGTAAGAGATAAATCGATTAAATAATTGGTGAATTAATTTTAGTTACAAATAAGCTGAATATTATTCACCAAGTTTTATTAGGAAAATATGCTTTTTTTTTTTTATGAATTCGTAATTTCCGTTAATCATTCATTGATTATTGGTGTTTGAAAGATAAATAAGAACGGGCTTTTAAATTTCAATGATTTTATCATTAAATAGAATTTAATGCTTTAATTCAATATAGAGGTATTTCCATTTATTACTATAATAATATTAATATGTTATCAGATATTAATATATACAATATTATAATACTATTATAGTAAAGTGTATTTTAAGTTATGTTAAATTATTTCAATTCATATGCTTATAATAAATGTCCTTTGCTAATTTCAAGTGGAACGATTAATAATCTAAATTCTTTTTCGGAATATTCGGTATTCCATATTACATATAATTTAAATTCACACACATAAAGTAAACAATTTACTTCATTATTTATTCGGAGCCTTCAATAAATTAAAAGTTCAAGTGATTCAACTAGATCGAGTTTTTTATTCTGCTTCACAATCGTAGATCACCGAAAATGAAATGGTGACGCTGCCAGTGAGGATGAAATGGACATAACATAATTATCATCGGTTATACGTATAAACGAGTAATGAAGAGTAATAAGATGAAATAATTGCCATTCTTATCATTATTTTATACTAATAATTTGTACGTTCGTTAAATTAACGTTTCGAAAAATAATTCAATAGTTTTTCTTTTAATACTCTTGTACGAAGGAAAACTCTACTTTGGCGTAAAGTAAAAAAATCTTTGCCTTTATAAATTAATTGCTTTTCTTATTAATTAACTTTCTCTGTTATACAAGCAGAAAGGTATTTGGACGGAAATACATTTACAATAGTATGAGTTCCAAAATATATATCTTATAAAACTATTTCGTTATTGTTTTAAATTTCATATATATTATATATAAAAAAATCTTATTTTATGATTATCAATTACTTTCTTATCCACTTGTCTATCTCGCTTGCATAATTCATTCATGCAATTCGCTCAAATACTCACTCATACTTAATATTTTATACCTCTATTTTTCGTTTCTTTATCTACTCATACTGATGATATAATTTTATAATGCAAAATAATTTCGATCAAAGTATAATTGAATTTGATATTCAATTGTAGTATCGGATACTCAATCATACATAGGATTTTTTTTTCTTTTTTTTTTTTCACTAAGAGATTTTCTAGACTCAATATTTCAACTAGAAATTAATATTGCGTAGTTATAAGAGTCAAGAAGAATACTTTAAAACTTGCATTTAAAATTTTCATCTATTTTATGAAGTTTATGTTGTAAATGTAACGTGGCATAGAGAAACTTCTACTCACCTCAATGATACTAATGCATATCATAAGGTAGGGTAATCTTATCCGAAATTTCGGTTTTTTCAGTATTTCACGATTGAGTATGAACTTCGGTCCGAGCTCATCTTCTTTTAAAGCTTTGTTCGTGCTCGAGATCATGGGGGTCATCATTGTTGGTGAATCCAGCAAACCAGCATCCGCGTACGTCTGGTCACTGAAATCTGAGATTGTCGACATTGTTGGGGAGCCCTCGAGCAGGGCCGCCTCCACGTCCATCATGTCACCTGCAGACATATTACCAAATTCTATCGTTAGTTATTAGTTTATTTACAAACTTTTATTATGGATTTTGTTTAACAAATTTTACTTATAATTCAGATATATAAAAATTGTGAATAATAAAACTTCTTTAAATAATAAAACAAAATAAAACAAACACAATGGAATACATCTATGTGGTATGTTAGAAGTTTGTAGAATTCACTATGCATATTCGTCTATTCCAAAATTTATTGCCATCCATTATAACATTTTTCAACTTAAATTGTAATAAGGTTTTGCAATTTTATATATTAATTTTATAAATTTATAATAGTAATCTTTTAGATTTTTTTTTCTTTTTTTTTTTTTTTTAATATAATGTAATACATTCTCATATAACACAGTGCACGTGAAAATACAAAGTTTATTTAAAGTTTATATAAATATTTTTAAATTCAAAGAAATCTAAAATATAAAAAAATATAAGAGATAGTTCAAAATTATACTATAAAATATACATTGAATTTTGAACAATAAGCATGAAAATGAATTCTTTTTAATTATTAAGAACAAAAAAGATTTATTACTAAAAAATTATAATTATTAGAATAAAGCAATTCTAATTAGTGATATTTTAAAATAAATTTTCTATACTAAATTTCATTTACAATCAAAGAGGTAAATGATACATTTAATACTCTTAGGAATAAATGGGCTGTTGAGCACTTTGATACAGAACCACTGACTGTACTTGCTGTTTCTAAGTCACTATTTCCTCTGATTTTTTTTTTTTTTTTTTTTTTTTTTTTTTAACATTCATTCTCCAGCTCATTTTGTCATTTTCATCTATTTCAGGTTTCTTTGCTATTATTTTTTCTTCTCTATATTACTTTTCTCCTTTTGGATTTAGTTTCTCCTGTATTTCCGTTCCCTACTTTTCCTCTTGCTCTTGTCTCCCTCTTCTGTCGCCACACTTTTCACTCTGCTTTTTGTCATACTAATGGTTTTTGTTTCAAGCTCATGTTTTCGCGCTTTGAGAACACCTCTATAGCATTAGTCTCGTTTGAGTTATCGGTCGAAAGGCAGAGAAAGAGAGGGAGAGAGGGAGAGGGAGATATATATATATATATATATATATATATAGAGAGAGAGAGAGAGAGAGAGAGAGAGAGAGAGAGAGTAGCAGTGTTTTCAAGGAATTCAAGAGCAGTGCAATGGCGTACGAGCAAGGCAACGACGTTTGTCTTCCTGAATACATTTTCAATTATGGATTACGTCGAGTTGCATAATTGAAACATACTCGTCATTAAACATCCGAGAGATCCCATCACGAGAGATACAAGAGGAGATGAAGAGAACGAAAGCTAATTCTGATTGGTCGCAATTCAACTTTAATACAATTTATCATGGAATAAAATTTTAATGCAATTTAAATTTAACATTTCATTTCCTAAACGTGTGAATGATTCCAGGATTCTATTTATGCAAAAGAATTTACTTAAACGGGCAGGTCTGATAACAATAATTATACTAAAAGTCCATCGCAATGTTCGGATAATGATATGATATTATATTGACATAGCAACGCAGCATAAGTATTATAATAGTTAAACAATTTTGAGAATTTAAATCTGAAAGATAATTTTGGTAAATTACTTTTTGTATTTTATAACATATTTAAGAATCGTCCTTTAATGAATTTATTATTCACTTACAGTTGAGTATTTGATTAATCATATAGTAAGTAAAATCATTTATTATATACGTCGGGAAATAAAAATTGGAGAAATATATATTGTTTCTATCCAAATTTTAATGAAAATTGTCATATTTATTTTGGAACGAAATTATACGAAAGGTTTGTTCAAGTTTCATCAAAGATGACCTATTCGAGGCGCAGTTTTACGTGTTCCCTTTTGTCCAACGTATCTTCAATACTGCAGTTCAATATTAGAGAAAATTCGACAAAATGAAGAAAAAAACGACGTGGGGCGATTTTATTGAAAGAAAACTTAAATTAAATTATATTAAATTTGAGAAAACGTTCGTTCATCGATATTTTTTTACACTGTTGTTAAGTAATGCAACTTTATCATTTTTACTTTACTTTTATGAAAAAACAAAAAAAAAAAAAAAAACAGAACAAAAAACAACATTAACAAATAAGCAGAAAAATTTCATATTCAATTGTACGATATGTGGTCGTTACTATTATAGAAATTTATAATGCTTAACAGACTATGAATATATACGGTGCTTTTGTGAATTCTATCTTAATGTGGCATGGCGGTTACGCATATTTCGAACTTCCGCTTCGGACGCTCTAGTAATAAGCACAAAGTGTGATTCATTATGTTTAAGGTTTGTAATAATATTATAATACGATGACAATGTGACGCATATAAACATTTATGGATACATATATATTATATATATATAATATAATTTTTCAACAAGTGCCTTAACACAAAATGAAAATGTCATGACAACTTATCGATTAAATATATATAACATCAATACTCATTAATATAACGTTCTTTTTAATCTTTTCGTTAAAAACAATTTATAATTTGTTAAAATATATCAACATTCACATAAAAAATCTTTATGTATTATCATAGTTTTAAAGATTAATATATAGTTTAATGATTTTGTTCTTCCTTATAAATTGATGTTTATGTACAATATTTTTAACGCGTGTTTTAACATTTTGCTCTATTTAATAAAAAATATAGTTTGAAGAATCATTTTGATATACTAAATGAAACCTTAATAAAAGCATAATGAAATATATTTCAATATTTTAATATTATATTTAATTGTATATTATTGTTTTCTTAATCTTTTCTATACATTCTATGGAAATTGTGAATAATTTTAATTACTCATCGACTTAGTTATTAATTATAAATGAAATTATTATTTTTTTACAAGATAATGAAATTTTCAAATAGTTTGAATAATATTGAATATTAATATATACATATGTGTGTGTGTGTGTGTGTGTGTGTGTAATAATATATATGTATATATATATATATATGCATTCCTCAGTGCATTTAAATCCGAACTTATTAAGAAGATAATTTCAGAAACAACATTTATTCAAGATCTTTGATAATACGACTTAACCATTAAAATATATTTTCTCTGAGAAATTCTTTTCATCGTACAAAAATATTTTGGTTTTCTTTATTCTTAAAGTATATAACTATAAATATAAAAAGTATATATGATAATTGAATATTCATATTATAATTAATAATTAGAGAGTTAAAAATAACTTTCATATTATTTTTCGTTTGGGGTATAATAAAATTTTAATGAAATTACTAAATAAGCTAAATGTTTTTAACGTAAATTTATGATGATCTCCTTTAAGAGAAATCTATAATATGTTAGTGATTTACTAAGATCTGTTTAAATATAAAGTTTTCATACACATGAAATCGAAAATTAAACGAAACAGAAAAATTAAAATATTTAATAATTAATTTTTAATTAAGATTCTAATTTTTTATTCTGTTTCATATAAATTTTAAATAAATTTTATTCTATATATCTTATATGGCCCATTAGCCAGTATAGAAATGTTTACTTAACTGTAAATGATATTATTAATCTAAATTTTTATAACAAATATTACAATTAGTTTATTTTTGTATCTAAAATATAATCTGTGAAATTTTTATAAATATATTTTCTTTTTGATATAAATACATTATGTTATGTCTGCTAAATAAATAAAAAATCATTATGTTAATATTTGATTAATCATTACATTATATTTGCATTATTTTTAGATATCAATTAATTACGTAGTTATATACAGATTATTTTTCAATGGAGTAGCATTCGAAAAAATATGTCGAGATTGCATTAAGAATTTTATATGATTATAATATATACAATACAATTAAAATTTATATAAAGTACGAATCATTTCAATTTAGAATTAATATTTATATTATTTATTTATTAATATTTAAAATAATATGATATAAAACAAATATTAATCCAGTACAATTATTATTTTGTGTTATTTCTATCTCAAGCGATAACATATTTAGTATTTGTATGTATTGTATATATTTGTATTAAATTAATATACTGGTTTCTATGCAAGTGTGTGTGTACATCAAACTGAGTAAAGTGTCATTTTGATGAAATCATTAGGTATCTCACTAACCTTAAACGAAGCATAATTGAAGTTGCTAAACTTGCTGAACTATATTAAACAATTTTTCTGTAATTAATGTCTGATATTTCAAACTGTAATTTAAAATAATTGGCCACTCGCGCAAAGAACGAACCGTATAAACTTCCACATTTACTTGTATATATATATATATATATATATATATATATATATATATTTATTTATTTATTTATTTATACCGTGGGTATTTTTATTTCGTTTTGACAAGTAAATATATTATAAATAAGTAACATTCGAATTTTTGTCTAGATAATAAGTTAGTTGAACAGTAATCGAGCATTCATTAAGAAATATTAAGGGTAGCATAAATGTTGAGAAACTCGTAGATCAGGAAATGCGTTCTTACAGACGTAGAACTAAAAAACGTGTTTGAAATAGCGACAAACTGTGCTCGTCTTAGATGTCTATTGCTGACTAGAAAAATTGACATGATTTTAACGTTTAATGGTGCATTGACACACCCTTCTAATATTTATTTCTCTCTTACCTTATAACATAATGGGCCGCACCTACGAAAGATACGTGTTCAACCAATCAAATCATGGCTTTGACTGGTGCGCTCAAAATTATCCATATTAGTAAGACAAGGATAGTCTTTTTATTTCATCATTCAAATGGACGATACCCCCACCAACAATGTTTGTTCTTTTGCAGTCTGAACTTTACGATTGTAGTTGAAATTGTTCACAACTTAAAAACGTGCCATTCTATGCAAATATTTCTTATTTTAGGATTTAATCGTAAAATTCGATTAAATTTCCAGATGTATTTTCGAATCGAGTCGATAATCTATTACTGAATATACAATGGCTTTTTGTCAGAAAAATTGATGTCTATTCAATT